GGGATTAACTACATATTTCTAACTGATGAGGTATACAATTGAAGACTTTTTAAATCTTATTTTAGTGAAAATATACACAAGAAAACATTTACCCATTCAACAGTTTCTATATATGCACAGTTCTATTTGACTACTAAGCAGAAGGCTGGTGGTTCAAACCCACCAGCCACTCTTTGGAAGGAAGACCGGGCAATCTACTTCTATAGTGATATTCCTTTGGAAAGTCAAGGAGGGGTCACTATGAGTCGGATCAAACTTGATGGCAGTGAGTTAATTAGTTTCTTTATATTGTACAACCCCATCCCTGTCTTTTTCCTAATTATTCTACCACCATTAACATAAACTCAGTGCCTCCAAGGAAAAGCTTCCCTTTTTTTTTTTCTCTCCCACTCTTGGTAACCTAGTAATCTGCTTTCTCTGTATTTGCATATTTCCTATAAATGAGATCATACAGTATTTGGCTACAAGTTGGATCCAACTTGACAGCAGTGAGTTTAGTTTGGTTGTTTGTAACTGACTTATTTTACTCAGCATGTTTTCAAGTTTCATCCATGTTGTGGCCTATATCAGGACTTCATTTCTCTTTATGGCTAAGTAATTTTCCACTGTACGTATATATCACATTTTGTTTATACATTCATCCTGATGGACATTTCAGTTGTTTCCACCTTTTTGGCCATTGTGAAAAACACTGCAATCAACATTTGTGTACAAGTTTCTGTTTGCATTCCCACTTTCACTTCTCTATACTGTCTACTTTAAATGTTTACTTTGTTCTTTGAAAGAAACGAAACCACAGACCTATAAGGAGAACCCTAGTTACCCACAGTCCTACAAAAAACTTGTCAAATAGTTGACACTGCACAGACCGGAACAGGCAGACAGTCTTAGCATGAGTAACTCAGGTTTGTACACAAATGTAATCATATCCTTTCTTGGAATTTTAATGTCATTTGTTTGGCATCTTTGTTTTTTCATCACAAAGCTTAAATAGACTTGATGACATGAAGACTCTCACAGCAGATGAGCATAACACAAGCCATGATCCTTTTGGAAAGGCATCTATGTCTTTGTGGGGAAAAGCAGGTATGAGTATCAAATTATGGAATGGGTTTGATTGAAATAGCCTCCTGAGTGATTAGAGGCTCAAAATATATTATTATAAAAATCAACCAAGCTTGGAGTTGATTAAAAAAAAAAAATCTGAAAGCTTCATGCTCATTAGCTGTCTACCGCAGTGAAACCAACACATGATTACGTGGCTTGCACCTGTCAGGCTCACGACATTGATCACCAGAACTGATTATCCTGCAAGTGTTACACTAATTATATCAAAAAAAGAGCAAACAGGGTGAAATAACTGATAATACTGCTGCCATTGAAATGTCACAGATATTTACACTGTATTCAAGGTTGTATACTTGGAGCATCATCCTTAAGAACTGGGTAATGATAGGTTGCCTGTAATACTAAAACATGCAAACTGAGTTTCTTTCAAAGCAGCATTCAAGAAGTCACACATGTTAGTTTCCAAACTTTTGTAAGATATTCACAGGCATAGATTCATTCGAACTATTATTCTCAAAATCTTCCCACCCTAGACCCTTACTCCAAAACCCCTGGGGTGTCTGGGACACATGGTAGTATTCCTCAAAGGTAGCCACGGGTTCCTGGAAGGGGGGGAAGCAGAATTTGGTGTCGAAGGGAAATGATTCCATCTTATTTGTACCATTTATTCCATGTGGAGGGCCAGACATCAGCAGCACATTTCTTGCCTTTCCACCTCTTCACCCACTGTTCTTTGGGGGAGAGTTACTTGATTGAAAAAGAATCGTGGGCATGCATAGTTCTGCCTCTTCTTCTGTGAACTCTTTCCAGGGAGTGAACAATCTCTGTTATTCCACACATCAGATTTAAGAAGGAGGCTTGTTCCACACACAAGGAGACCATGGTCATTGATTGCTACTGTCCAGTTGATGCCAACTCATGGCAACCCCATCTGTTACAGAGGAAGCTGCTCCATAAAGTCATCTGACTGTAAGCTTAACTGAAGCAGATTTTCAGGTTTATCTTCCACAGTAAGTCTCTCCCGACCCCACCCCACCCCCCAAAAAAAGCTTAACTGCTGTTGAGTTGGTTCCAACTCATAGCAATCCCTTCTTGGGTTTCCAAGGCAGTATCTCCATGGAAGTAGATTGCCCAGTTTTCCTTCCAAGGAGTGGCTGGTGGATTTGAATTGCCAGTCGTATGGTTAGCAGTCAAATGCCTTAGGCACTACGCCACCAGAGATCTGGGTCAGTTCAAACCACCAAACCTTTAGGTCAACAGTTGAGGGTAAATTGTTTGTGTCACCTAGGGACCTTGAAGGAGCTCTGGTAGCATAATGCCTAAGGCACTTGACTGCTAACCAGAAGGCTGGCGGTTCAAACCCACCAGCCACTCCTCTGAAGGAAGATGGGGCAATCTACTTCCGTAGTGATACTGCCTCAGAAATCTAAGGAGGGGTTGCTGTGAGTCGGGTCCCACTCGATGGCACATAACAACAACAACAACAACAACAAAGGGACCTTGAGGAGACCTCCACTGACCCAATAATACCCATGGCTGAATTGAAAATCTGTCTACTTTGATATTCGTTACTAGGAAGACCATTTGCCAGTAGATATAAATCATACCCCAGAATATCAACTTTAAGGCTAATAAAAGTAGGTATTTTTTAATCACAATCTCTTTTACTCTTTTGTTTCTCAAACAATTTAGAATCTGAGCAGAGAATAGAGGTTCCGAGTATTGGGCATCCTTCAAAAATACCTCAGTCTATGGGAAGGAGAAGAAATGATTTGAAAATCCTCCTGTGTGATAAAATATACTGCCCTGGAGGCAACCACAAGGCACAATTGAGAATCACCTCTTAAAATGAATTCTTAAAAATTCCTTAATGGGTGTTTTCCATTATTTTTTAAAAATTATAATTTGTTATAAACAGTCAACTGACTCTCTTTAGTAAAAGGGCAGGGAATGTTCAAAAAGAGTAATTTATTAAAAAAAAAGGGGGGGGGATTTAAAAAATAAATTATTATATACCCAGAACATAAGGTTGTTATATTCTAGTAAAGATGAGTGAGGGTTCCCATCCTGGAACAAGTCATATTTTCAGTTCACTTCTCTGGAATAACTGGCAACAAAAACATCACCATATCTCTTACAAGCATGTATATAATTGTAAAAATTAAAGGGCTATGAGGCCCAAAGTCAAAATAATTCAAAATAAATGTTGCTCTTTTTCTAGTTCTGAAAGAATTCCACATGAATGAATTGATTTATTCACAAATATTTACTGGAAGCACATGATACTATGACTACATCTACTTGAGTTTATAAAAATCTCGAACTCTATCTACAAAACAGAAAAAAAACAGCTTTCCCCATAAATGTGGTCATAGTCCTGCTTCAACATTCCCTATCACTCAGATTCCAAATGGTAGAATCAATTTTGAACCTTCCCTCTAGCCCATTTTCCATCTCCAAAGGGTGACCAAGTTTTTTTTGTTTTCTTTCTCCAAATTTAGTTAACAAACAGCTAACTAAAATATAGATAACTACCTTTCATCTATCCTTTTCCAATCACCTCACACACTATTGACAGTCAAACTAATTTATTTTAATTTTCACTTCTTCCTCTTAAAAAGCATTTCCAAAGAACCGCAATTTCCTTTTCTTCCAACTCTACCACAGCACGTCTGTGTACAAGAACTCTGCCTTATCCTTTCTGACTTTCTCCAACAACCAAAACTTTCTGGTATATTGTATGTGTTCAATGTATGTTTGTTGAATATGCTAGCATGCATATTCCAACTATTTTTAATAAAAACTTTAACTTTTTCATTATGTTCCAACTTATCCATTTAGTTTTTTAGTTTATTGAAACACTATTACCATTCAAGACCCTAGTAGTTTTAATATAAAAACAAAGAAACAAAGAAAACTTTATTTTTTTCCTCTATGTCTTTCAATAAAACCAGAAAAACCAAACTCACTGCTTTTGAGTCTTTTCTGACTCATGGCAGCCCCCACTGGGTTTCCGAGGTGGTCAATCTTTATGGAAGTAGATTGCCCATTTTTCTTCTGCCAAGTACTCATGGATATGAACTACCAATCTTCTGATTAGCAGGCTAATGCCCTATGCACTGCACGAACAGAACTCCGTGCCTTTTCAACAGGTATCTTAATATATTTTAAGGTTTCTATATTTGAAATTTTGAGAAATTCTATCACTCCTCAGAAGGAAGATGAGGCAATCTACTTCCGTAGTGATACTGCCTCGGAAACCCAAGGAGGGGTCGCTGTGAGTTGGGTTCGACTCGATGGCACATAACAACAACATCCAATTTAATAACATTTTCTTAAGAAAAGCCTAAAAACTTTTAATTTAAAAAATACTATTTGAAAAAATATTGCCACTATTATGTATTCACTTTAAAAATTGCAAAAGGTATTTAAAACAAAGGGGCAGACATTGGGCATAGATTTAGATATCCTTAGTCTGATTTTCTTATAGAGTAATTGTATTTAAATCTGTGTAACTTCTGGGTAAAATAGATGTCTGAGAGAGGTTGTTTGGTGCATGAATATAGAAAATTATGAGATATTTTGAAGATATCTGAGGATAGCACAGAGCCCCGGTGGTACAACAGTTTAGTGCTCAGCTGCTAACTGAAAGATTGGTTGTTCAAACCCACCTAATGTTGCCACAATAGAAAGGCCTGGCAACCTGCATCTCTAAAGACTACATCCAAGAAAATCCTATGGGGAAGTTCTACTCTATCACATGCCATTGCTATCAGTGGGAATTGACACCCAACAACAACATGAGTACAACAGACAGAACACTTGAAGTATGAACTGTGTTTACACTGTCCCAAAAATTGAGAATTACAAGGATGATTCTAAGATGTTCTAATAAAACATGTATGTAAATATATAATTTTTAGAAACCTTACCTTGACTGATGAGTCATATAAGATTTTTTCTGAAAGAGGTAGCCTTTCTAATCCTTGAAAAAGTTCTTTTGGGAATTCTTCAATACAAGAAGAAGAATACATCTGTAAAAACTTTTTCAGGAAAAAATGCATTTCTCTTTGGCGTAAAATCAACCCAGAGTTGAAAAGGGAGGTGAGCAACGTATCATCTGGCAAAGAAACTTCAGATCCAGCCTTCGCAGATGCTTAAGGAAGAAAAATACTTAATTTAGTTATCTTTGATAACAGAATGGTTTCAGTTTTGTTAGTATTTGTTCACTAACAACTTTTCCTCTTCATCTCCACCTCAGCTAGTGACTTCCAATGACCTTCCTCCATTTTAGAGTTTATAGACTAATGGAATTGCTTCTTGCCATGGGAAGAAAAGAAACATGGCTCCAAGCTCAGAGTCTACTTTCTGTCTAGCCATCTCCTTTTCAGCTCTCCCCAAGACAGACCCAAGACAAGAATTTGGTGAAGTGAATTTATTTGAAAAATGATCTTATGAAGCTCATAAGTAAGAGAATTGGGAAAGTGTGACAGGAAAAAGAAAAGAACCAATAAGAGGAAATTAATAAATGGACTAAAGCAACAGACACTGAGGGCTCAATCCTGCTGGGAGCTTTTTTTTTAATGATTAAGTTTTTTTTTATTTTTTTCAGTGTTCCCTCTCCTCCCCTTTCACCTCTAATAACCAACAAAGAAAGTTTCCTTCCATATATAAACCTTTCCTTGACTTGTTATTACAATGAACTAATACTATATTTTTCCTATGATTAACCTATTTCACTCAGCGTAATGTCTTCCAAGTTCATCCATATTGTGTGGTGTTTTGCAGATTCTACATTATTCTTTAGTGTTGCATAGTATTCCATTGTGTGCATGTACCATAGTTTGGTTATCCGTTCTTCTGTTAATGGGCACATAGGTTGTTTCCATGTTTTTGTTATTGCAAATAGTGCTGCATATACATGTTCTTGTCCTGGCTCTCACTTCTTTAGGCTAGATACCTACTAATGGGATTGCTGACATTGGTATTTCTAATAATGGTATTTCTGTAAATATTATATACAACTTTTAAATAAAATTTAGATTTTGGCAAAATTGTATCTGCCATCATGAGCTTCCCTGTACTTAGACTTTTCTTATAAGAATGGTGATGACATTAAAACAATTTTATTTTTTAATATTGTTTGATTAAATATATCAACATGTGGAAGATCTGCATAGCTCAAGGGACTAATATTTATTTCTGATAATGGTATTTCTAATTCCAGCAAGGTGGTATCATTTTATAGTCTGCTGAGGGCTTTTTGAAATATCACGTAAAATTATATTACTGAGGGATGGATGAGGAAGCTGGAATGTTCATCTATCAACTCCCTACTTTATTACTCTAAGGTTACTCCTGGGTGTGTGGAACCTCTGACACTTCTGGGCTGCTCTGCCTACAGGCCCAGAAAGCCATAGTGGCTTCAGAGAAAGGCCAGTAGGCAGAAAACAGAAAAAATGTGGTTGACTGAGAGGTGGGAAGTACCAGGAGGTGGTATGATATGAGGCAGAGCATCAACAGCATCTGCTAACCTGACTTCCACCCATCTACTTACTGACTGAGCTTTCTTTGTTCTTGCACCATCACAATGCACCTCTTACCCTCGATACCTTTTCATTTGTTGATTCCAGTGATAACTCCTGATGTCTAACCCTACTCACACTATGACTCAGTTCGTTTGCTGTGCTGGCTTCTATATCATTGTTCCCCAGCATGGGTCACACTTGCTTATCCAGGTGTGTGCACTAACAAGCAACATTGGATCACTAGTTTCTTGGGCACAAGAGGGACTGCTATGAAGCTACTTATACCAATTTTTCTAGATATTCTTTAGGCAGCATCAGTGATTTAACACTCTATGAAGTTAAATTTCCCTTGTGAATTCATGCATGTCTCCATTTTTATATACTGACATTGGGACACTCTTTAAAGCCAAAATTTCATCTTGTTCATTTTCTAAGCTGTCATATTGTGATCCCTCTGGTTCTTAATGGTTTTGAGCCATAGACCACTCTGGCAGTCTGCTGAAGCCTCTAGATGCCTCGTTATAACAGTGTTTTAAAAAGGAAACAAAGTATATAGAATTTCAAAGGAAACCAATCACAATGAAATAATGTTCTGTCCAAACATCCATGTATCCCTGGTTAAGAAGTCTTGGATATTTCATTTTCTGATGAAACGTCATTCAGAAAAGTGTCTTAAAAATGACTTAAGCAGGAATTGGAAGGAATACATCTTTTCTCAATCCATCAAAACCTACCTAACAGTTTGCTCATATTATTAATTCTTTGTAAGTGAATAAAGTAGCGAATCAGAAGGATCCATGTAATATCAACTTTGGTCTGATTCTTTTTTTGGGCATCTGTGTTGTCACACGTGTCATCACTTTGGTGTGAACATGCAGAGCCAGTCTGGAAGACAACTTGGTAGTTATCTGAAAGTAAAAACAACAACAACAAAAAGCCAATGTTTGTAATACATATACTATGCTTTCCTTGAAAGATAACACACATTAACAAAAAAAAAAATAGCATAACTCACCAAAAAAAGACTAATACATGAGAGTACTTTATATTAAAAAAAAATATATATATATATGTATATCTATATATATCTATCTATATATGTATATATATAGATAGATATATATAGATATACATATATATATATATATATATAAAACTTTTCTATTATGAAAGACACCATATATAAAGCTAAAGGGAAAATCACAGACTGAGAGAAGATATTTACAGCATATATGAATGGCAAAGTATTATTTTTTCCTGATATGTATAAAGATCTCCCACAAACCACGAAGAAAAAGTCAAGCAATACGATAGAAAATTGGGCAAAGAGTTTCAACAAGCAATTCATAGGAAAAGAAATGGAAATGGCCAAAGCTTTTAATGACAGTAACAACCAGGGAAATGTAAATTAAATGGAATATTATTTTACATCCTTCGGAATTGACAGAAACTAAAATCTGAAAATAATAAATACTGATAACAGTGTGAAGAAACTGGAATTCTCATACATTACATTGTTGTGAGAGTAACTTCTTAGGAAAGCAATTTGATAGGATCTAATAAAATTTAAAATGCAGGTACTATATATATGTGCATGAGAAGTCTTGAACAAAGTCCTTATATTCTTTATTGGCATGCACTGATAGTAAAATTAAACAATAGCTAAAGTGCCAGTTTCACTTAAGAGTATCTTTGATAACACAGAAGTTGTTACTGTTATTAACAATTGGCCCTTTAGTACATCTGTTCATATTCTGTGTGGTGAAATGAGAAGAACACATAAACCACTAACTGACATGTAACATGTCACCGAGGCAAAGCACTCACGCAATATTGTTTGAGTTGCAGGCAGAACATGTTGCTTTTTCATGAAACACCATTTGTACTTGGAACAACAACTGACAAGACAAACTAAGTGTTTTCAGACTTAGGTATGTGGCAGACATTTTCTCAAAAATGAAAGAAAACAGCTGACAGCATTTGTTGCCAATGATAAAATTACAACTTTTAGGTAAAATTTAGATTTTGACAAAATTGTATCTGCCATCATGAGCTTCCCAGTACTTAGACATTTCTGATAAGAATGGTGATGACATTAAAACAATTTTATTTTTTTAATATTGTTTGATTAAATATATTAACATGTGGAAGATCTGCATATCCCAAGGAACTAACATTTTCCAAAATGTCTAATGCTCAACTCACTGCTGTCAAGTTGATTCTGACTCATAGCGACCACTACTTGGGTTTCTGAGGCGCTATCTCTACAGAAGTAGATTGCCCAGTCTTCCTTATGAGGAGTGGATGGTGGGTTTGAACCACCAGCCTTGTGGTTAGCAGTCAAATGCCTTAGGCACTATGTCACAAAATCACACATGGCCAAATTATCTGCTCAAAATGGATATATTTTAATGTAACAGAATATGAAAAGTTCAATTATGGCTTCAGATTCTACATTGCAACTAACTTTAAAAAACTACTATCCAACTTGGGTTTTGTATCAAAGAAGATTATCTACAATTACCCGAAGAGAATATCTACCATAATCTAAAATACTCTTCTACTGTCCAATTACAAAGGAGCTCTGGTGGTGTAGAGGGTAAGACATTTGGTTGCTAAGCAGAAGGTCAGCAGTTCAAACCCACCAGCTGCTCCACAGACGGAAGATGAAGCAATCCACTTCCATAAAGATTTACAGCTTTGGAAGCCCAATGGAGGTCACTATGAGTCAGAATTGACTTGATGGCAGTGGGTTTGGTTTTTTTGGTCCAATTACATAACTGTGTGATCCCAGACTGTCTTTACATATTTCAATCCAAGCAATACGTTGCAACAGACTGATTACAGAAGAACACATGAAAGTCTAGCTACTATCATTTATTGAACTAGACATTAAAGAGATTCATAGAAATGTAAAACGATGCTACTCTTTTCAATAAATCTATTTTTGCTTTGGAAAATATAGTTATTTTTCATAATAATATTTTATCTACATTAATATGTAATGGGCTTGTTGTCATTTCCAATGAATTAAGTATTTTTTAAAATTTAAGTTTTAATTTCCATCATAACTTTCTTCTGTGGTAATAGATCTGTCTGGATTCTTTTAATTTATTTTGGAGTAAATTTGGGTGCTGGGTACACAGGTGTGTTATAATCTCTCTCATCATCTTCATATCTATTAATAGACATAATAGCTACTAAGGGACACTGCCAAAGGGGAAAGGAGGCCACATCTTCTGACCTCTAACCCCACAGTAGGAGGACAGAATCATATCAGCAGCCTAAGGTCTATTCCTGCAAGGCCAGACATGCTGCTTCCTTCCAGCCCTTTCACCAACCTTGACACCAATTGTCCCTTCCACGGCACTCACTACCTCTATGCTCAGCTCACCAATTCACTGTGGTAGTCACACAGAACTCACAGACACCACTCACAGATTATGGGGCTTATGAAGGAAGCAACAGGTTTCAACTCAAATTCAGGAGCAAGCTCAGGATTCAGCTCCTTGGTCAGGACAGTCTTCCCTCTGCCGTGCCCTTAGACATGCCTCTATGGCCCTTGGTCTTTTGGCTTGGCCTCTGCCTCTGTGGGCCAGATAAGTTTGCTGCTCTGTCTTGCACATCTTGGTTCCACTGTTGCCGTCTCTCAGCCAGGTGTCTCTCTTTCAGTAAGGGGTTGGTCTCTCAGCCATGGGTCAGACTCTCAGCCAGCTCTCTCACTCAAAACTCACTGCCATCAAGTTGGATCAGACTTATAGTGATCCCTCCTTGGGTTTCCAAGGTGGTATCACTATGGAAGTAGATTGCCCAATCTTCCTTCTGAGGAGTGGCTGGTGGGTTTGAACTGCCAGCCTTCT